TTGATTAAAAAGTAATGCGTTTAAATGTCAAAGACAATTTCATTTATATAATTTTATATAATTTTATATGCTAATATTTTTCAAATTTTGGGCCCTTATATGTAATTATTTCCATTTTGGGCCCTTATTTGTAATTATTTTCATTTTTTGGGCCCTTATATGCAAATTCCCCTAAAATTTATGACCTATATGATACAGTAAGATTACATGATTTCATATTAAGCGTGTACTCTTTTTTGTACTTATTTTAATATACTAAAGTGCGAGGTGACCTCATCCAAGCCCAAGTTTTGAGTTCGACAGATTATAGATTTTCAAATATATTTATATTTTTTATATATTTGATAAATCATTCATCAATATCGATATGATTTCCTGAATTAAAAATCTGCTTCGTGTGAGATATGATGCAATTTGCGCAAAGATGATATCATCATCTGCGAGGGCAATTCTTGAATGTGTGCAAGGTTGATGGCACATTACCCAGCCACAATGATTTCTTTTATTTCAGTATGTAAAGTGCATTCGTAAAATTTCTTTTTTCAACGAAAACTTCCATTATGTGTCGCATCAGCTGTCCTGTACTTTGAATGTTTCTATTTTTTTTTTTTTTTTTTGTGAATTGAAGACATAACAGAAATAATATAATTTTTAAATTTTTAGTTCGTTCATTATAAAAAAGTATTATAAAGAGAATTGACCGTACTTAATATGTAAGAAGAGTATATTACAGTAATTTCGGAAGTATGTGAAGTTAACAAAGCGTATAAAATTTGGATTTAAAAGTGAAACGTCTTTAACATTAAGGAACACTACTATTATTCTTTTTTTAAGATACGATACGGTGTAGATCATGAAAAATTTTTTTTTCATTTAAAGAATTTTTTTTTATAAACTATGACATATAGTACGTATTTATTAACATATTTTTAAAGTCAATATTTTTCTTATACACACATTATATTAAGATCTTTGACGTTCTAGTCTGTAAAAACCCTGAAATTATAATTTATAAAATTAATAAAGAGTGCGAGCATTTTTTGAATTCAAAAACAATAATATTAGAAGCTAAAGATTATGAAAAAAATGAAGGGAAACGTGCTTTTTTGAAAATGACAAGAACATTATTCGAGTAGAAATAACGTTAAAAAATGTTTTTTTCGTTCTATTAAAATTTATAATTTTATTATTTTTATTATTAAAATTTTTTAATTGGCGCAAATTATTTTGGACTGACTAGTGCACCACTAACCTGACACACATTCAAGAATTGTCCTGCGAGGTAATATTGCATGTAAGACCATAATATTAATTATGACAAAAAAATAGCAATAATATATAATAATTTAATTCTGTCCAGAATTTTAGAGCTATTTTTACGAAAATGATTTATTAATTCATAAATTAATATAAAATCACTCAAAGCGGTTATGATCCAGATCGTGATCATTTACTTACACCCTTAACCACAAAGAAATTGTATTAAATAAAGGATAATAATTCTTTAATTTAAAAAAATTAATATTGCATAAATCTTTATTTGAATACTCTATCCAAGTAATTTCAAGCATCAAAGGAATTTTATTTATTATGTTTACATCATGAATGTAATAAATCCCGTATTAGACATTAAGATAATAACAGATTTGTTTATAAAAGTAATCTGTAATCTAATCTAGTAATTTTATATTAAAAGTTTACATACTCAACAAATTCAGTTTTTAAAAGCCAAATAGATTCGTATATTGGACTGAAGCGATTACTGCAAGTAAGTGTTGAAAGATGAAGAGTATCATATTGAGGAGCAATACACCAGGAGCATTCAATAACCATGTCACCAGGCTCACCATGAACACAAAGACTTCGATGAACACCAACAAGGTTTTTGATACACACAGGCTCTTCAATACTCTCAAGAAAACAACCTAAAGAGACAAATTCATCCGGATCATCAGTTAAAGGTTGGATTAGGTAGTGATCGCAAAAATTGGAGTAACCTAAATTTTTCTTTTTGACAATAGGACGTAAGAGACCCTCTGCATACGGTTTCTCCCTGATCAAAATTCCGAATATTCCTTCATTTTCTCTAAAATAGGAAACTGCTAGCCATTTCCTTTAACAATATTTGCAAAATAATGAATTATTTAATGAATAATTTAATGAATAATTTAATGAATAATTTAATGAATAATTTAACGAATTATTTAATAATATAAAATTTATCCTTAAATAGGATCTTACCATTTACTTCCTTTATCGATGATAGGTTTATATCCTAATGTACCACATTCAAAATTTGTAGCATCGGTTGTCGAAGACACCAACGTGTATTCCAAATAGGGAGGATCAAAAGGCTTGAATTTCCTTTTGTAAATATTAGCATAAACTGGCCAAGCATCAATAAACTGTTTTCTTCGGGTTTCATCTTCGACCAAATCACCAATGAATAAAAGACTTTATAAATTTAAATAATTAAAATCTATGTTAGGATTTTGATATAATTATATTCAAATTTTATACGTAAACAGTAATTACCTGTCCGATCTATCAAATGTTATGAAAGCAGGGTTATTGGGAACAGTAGTTGCCCAAGCATCCATATTCGGATGTAGCATATCATTTCCAAGAGCTCTAATATTACCACCACATACATGAACATTAATTTCACTGTTTTGTCTAAACTTCATAACTTCATCTTCATCAGATGATTCACCCTGAAGTATTTCAATAGCCGCATCTCTTGCTACTAATTTTAAATCAGCCTTGCAATTATACTTAAGTTTATTAGTACAAGTACTAATAACGATGCGACCACCCATTTTAAGACTACGAATAAAATGAGAACCATATCGACGAAAAATTATTTCTGGATCAATTTTTGGATCATTAATTTCAGATCGAATTTCAGGTTTAAGATATTTTCGTAATATTGAAGGAGATGAAGTAAGATGGAGAAGATGAGAAGAGTAATTATATTGAATTCGACTAAATTTTCGAAATTTATTATAATCAACGACTTTTCCAAATTCTGTCTCTAGAGAACCAGTAAAGCCACATATTTTTACTAAAGAATATATTGATTAACAGTATTAATATGATTTTAGATTGTTAAATGATTAATTTATATTAAAAGAAAATACCTCCAATATCTACAGTATTCGAAAGTAGTTCATGATATTCATCTAAACTTTCACCAGCAATAGATATATATTCAGCCGAGATCTTTGGATAAAACTAATACAAGTCGAAAGAAATTAAATATTAAAGTAATATACGACATATGTATTTGTGTAAATTTTTAAAAAATCATACGTGAATGATATTAGGTATGATATAGGTCTGGCCATTAAGGTTTCTTTCGTATGTTGGAATATTGCCCCAGTCAAAGAAATTTTCAGTACATGATTCACTTTGTGCATATTGACCATTTAAGTAATCATATCCGGAACCAAGTTCATCGAGTCCAGGTATCCAAGCCATTTTAGATAGAAACTAAGTATGTACAAATTCAAAAAAGACGAAAGTTCTCTATCCTTATTTTTTTACGTTACGTATTTAAATCTATTTATCTATATTTAGAAATTTGACAGGATCTTGTTAGGGACGCGTCAAATATATATCGACTACATATAGAAACCGGTGATACAAATAAAAAATCTAAAAATCGATTTTTAATAGTGATTTGAACCGAGAAAAGTTTCCTTACAGCTGTTTTCATTATTTTTGGACATCTGAAAAATTTTTGACAGCCGAATCGATAAGTACCGACATCAAAAACTTATCGATTCGGTCATCAACAATTTTTCAAATAATGAAAAAAGCTGTAATCGGTTAACCGAACCGAATCATTTCATTCAACCAGTTGCCAACCGGTTAAGATTAATATCTCTACTATCTTCGGAAACTCAAATTTTTGTCTCAACTTTGCTCGTATTTTATGTTCATTCATTTTCTTTTCGGAACCTTTACTCTCTCTTTACACATTTTTATATTATATACTATATCGACCCCACCAACCGATTACCCAATTCTCAACCGGTTGTACCGGGTCAACCGATTAAGAATTTTCTCAACTAGTTAACGATTAGTCGATTATAACCCAACCGATTTAAGTCACGAGAAAGTCTCCGGACACCTACCAGTTCACATGATTTTGCACCTACCAAATATTAATTAACCAATTAAAATTAACACAGCACAGCCCTAACCTTAACATGAACGGTAGGTGTCCGGAGACTTTCCCTCACGTCACTAGCTGTGTCACAGATGATCATATATATCGATATGATTCGGATTCTGTGCCCACAATTCTTGATTTAACTGGTGTATGATAGTTAATCACGTTACTGAATATGATTAGCTGTTTAACGTTAAATCCAGTTATTGTATTTGACAACGTTTCACAGCATTTCAGTTTATATATAATGGAAGTGAAAATTTCTTTTACAATTTTATACGTCGTACGTACGTTCTAAAATTCTAAAACAAAAAAGTTAAATTTTTTTTTTTTTTCAAAAAAAAAAAAAAAAATGATAACATTGCCAAACGAATGCCTTTTAGAAATATTTAACAATCTTCAAAATTGTCGAGGAGGTTTATTTTTATGTCTTCTTGTAAACCGTCAATGGTGCAGAATTATTATACCAATATTATGGAGTAAACCCAAAGGTTATTTTATTGATAAAAGATTTATAAGAACATGTCTTTTAACATTAAATGAAAAAGAAAAATCTCTTTTAACACCTTTTAAAATAAACTTACCAAATTATCCAAAACCATTATTTGAATATACAAGTTATATTATTCAAATATCTGATAGTAATTTTTTAAGTAAAGGAATTAAAGATTGGCTTTATTTCGAAGGATATAAAACGAATAGATTTCGTACTTGTAAAGATGATGAAATTGTAGATACTATTAAATGTTTATTAATTTCAATGTTTATAAGAACGAGTAAGAAACTTAGGTATTTAAGTTTTAACGGAATTATTTATAATAAGACATTGTTTTTAGAAAATATTTATAGAAACAATACAATTATCTCATTAAATCTTCTCAATAATCATTTTAATTCTGAGGAAGGAAAGATATTGACTGAAATTCTTTACAAGAACACTACTTTAACTTCTTTGAATCTTCAATATAATCAACTTGGTTTCGATGGTGGTAAAGCATTAGCAAAAGCTCTATGTGAGAATACTACTTTAACTTCTTTGGATCTTACTGATAATAAACTTGGTATAGAGGGAGGAAAAGCGCTGGCAGAAGCTCTTTGTATAAACACTACTTTGACTTCTCTAAATCTTGAGAATAATCAACTTGGTTTTGAGGGAGGAAAAGCTTTAGCGGAAGCACTTTACAAGAATACCAGTCTGATTTCTTTGAACCTTGCATGGAATAAACTTTGTAGTACAGGCGGAAAAATATTAGCAGAAGCTCTTTGTGAAAACTCCACTTTAATTTCTTTAAATCTTGCATGGAATAAACTTGGTTCTGAAGGAGGAAAAGCATTAGCAGAAGCTCTTTGCAAGAATACTACATTAACTTCTTTAAGAATTTATGGTAATCAGATTGGATTCGAAGGGGGAAAAGCATTAGGAGACGCTCTTTATATAAATTCTACTTTAACTTCCTTAAATCTTTTTAATAATCAACTTGGCTTTGAAGGGGGAAGAGTATTAGCGGAGGCACTTTGCAAAAATACTACTTTAATCACTTTATATCTTGGTTACAATAAAATTAGCTACAGAAACATATGTATATTGAAAAAAATTCTTTGTACTAATACTACTTTAACTTTAAATTTTTAATAAAAAAAAAAACAAAACAAAAATTTCTTTATAATAAAAATTTATCGTTATAGATACATTATGAAAAATTATAATAGTAAAGTAGACAATCGCTCACTAATAAGTTAAATATACAATTTAAAATAAACTTTCGACACAATCAGTGTTGCCGAGACCAATATAAAACCTTTAAATAAACAGATTAATGGAATTTATTGGAAAGTCATTGCCTTTCAATCTTTCAATCAACCATACTGGGAACTATATTTGTATAATTTCTTGATTTTTAGACTCGACAACCTAAATAAATTTTGGTCGAAAATTCCTTATTTGAATAAAAATGATGCATCAATAAAATTAGTACTGTACGAACAATTAATTATCGTTATTACTGTATTAAGAATAAAAAAATTGACTAAAAAGTTATAAGCTGTGCGATTTTAATTTTGTATTCCCTAACGGCCATGCACCACCTTTTCGCATTATTAGTCTATTTATTATTCACAACAAATTTCGGATTTTCTTAATTTTCTGCTACTGATCCTCCACGATACAAAGACTGTAGTAATAAAGTGCTTTTTTAAAAAAAAAAACTTTTAACAATTGTTTAAATGCAACAAGCTAATTCTTTTTAAACGAAGTATTATTATTTGTCTCCTGTGGATCAGATTCATTCGTTTCAAGCGTAATTAGTATGTGAAGATAGTATATTTCTTATATTTCAAACATTAGAAGGTGATAAATTATTTCTTTTTGGCTTATGATGATCACGAAAAGTTTGATTGATTGATTGATTAATTCTTGAGCATTTTTGTGAATCACTAAATATATTAATTTACGTCTGCAAGAATCGTCAGATCTTTGTTTGGTGTGTATTCCAGTGACTTTTTCGTCAATGGTAACAATATAAATAATTAGATTCTTCTCGCTGGAAAAAGGAATTTTAGTAGGATCTTACTTACCAACGGTTGTTTATTAAAAGTAATAAATTCAATGTTCCAGAAATTCGTTGTTTGTTTTGTAATGAGAACTCGTCAAGAAAATTTTTTTCTGTGATGCTTTTGTTGGAATTTTATTTTTTTTTTGAAGGTTTATTTGGCTAGGAACTAGTCACATGTTCTTTCGCCCATGAATTTCAGAGTTGCCAATGATTGAGTGCACTCACATATTACTAACTGATCAAAATTTTATTACGTATTAGGAAGATCACGAGACTGCGATCTCGATTTTTGGGAACCTTAAACATATTAATCGCGAACTCCATCAATTTCTTGTTAGCAAAGAAACATTTAGTTGTTTGTTTATTGGCGTTCCCTAGAAATCAATAATAGTACGTAATTAAAATTCAAGTTAAATTAGCTCTGGAGTGGCAATTCTGATTCAATTTAAGTTTCATACGTTGACGCTAATACATTTATTTGTGACATAGTTATTTATTTTCGATATTTTATATGGGTACCCTAATTTCCTCACCGCTTTTGATTGGATGTATGAAAATGTTCTTTCTGATTGGACAAAATAGATTACACAACTTTCGCTACCAACTAAATTACAAGATCCGGTGTAACATAAAATGATAAAAAAAATTGAAGTTTTTCAAAAATCGTCGATAACTTATAATTTTACTTATAAAACTGCCTTCGTGTCTTAAATTTAGTAACAGCTATATCTTATTTTTGCCTTAGTACTGGGATTAATAATATGTTAAATAGTTATTATTTGGGTTTCAAAATTAACAAATAAGTGGCGCATTTCGAAAATAATTAGAATTTTTTCAATAGTATTTTTATTATGTTGAATTATATATCGGAAAAATAAATAGGACTCTCTGATTTTAATTTTGAAACTCTCATTATTATTATTATTATATTATTTTGCCGTATTTGATTTTTCTTCGGTTATGATATCATTTGTAATCAATTTGTCCAATCAGGTATAGTGCAAACCATCTAAAGACATCCAAAATTGCTACTCTTCAACGAATATTTCGAACTCCACAAAAACAATACTTGGCTCTATAGTTCTGTATAATATCTATCAGAAATTGTTTTTACAAAATTTCCAATATTCGTTGAATAGTAGCAATTTTTAAAAAGAATTTTGAATACATTGCTATATTAATGATCAACCAGATACTATTTGATTAATAAGTTTAATATTTAAGATTTGGTGCCTATAGATTAATTCACACCATATGATTTTTTTATGAGCACTTAATATATTTCATATATTTGATTAAAAAGGCATTTAATACAGCTGTGATTAAATTATTGTCCAAGTTTTAATAAATCATTCTACAATGTAATATCGTAATCTATACAAGAATATTTGATTAACAGTATTAATATGATTTTAGATTGTTAAATGATTAATTTATATTAAAAGAAAATACCTCCAATATCTAC